AGCTGGACGTCCCATCGGCAATCATTCGTAGACAAGTAGCACTATTTTATTGTATTCGACGTCGTACTTCTATCAGGGGCCGCCCTTGTGAGACTTCGAACAGGGTGCCGACCTCATAGCTACATGAGTGCGGTGCCAATCTCGGGACTCGTTCTCCCCGCCGTTCCGGATGACTTTGACTTTTATTCAGATCGGCACCCCGTGCGGTTTTGGTGACCGGCTCCTTTGACTCAGACCGGTACCTATGTTGGGGCCGGACTCGGATATTAACATACAGGCCCCCGAGCTCGGGTGTGGTCCATCGGGCCCCTCCCGAGGTCGTCTTTGATCGGTTGGATCCGAGCAGGCCCCCTCGAGCTCGTGTCCGTCTCCTGTTGAGGTCGGCATCTTCAACACACTTCAGTCGTGGGGGCGCAATGATTGGCAATAGAAGACGTGGGGTGTAACGGTTGATAAACGTGGGTGCGTGTTAACTGCGTTCACACGGGAGAGGGGACACGTGGCAGGTTTAGGGCCAAGTATTTCCGAAGGGGCGTAACGGTTGAAGAGCGATGACGGTTATCTTGTTCAAAACACTTCAGTTACTTAAGGAACCGTTTCGGGTTTTGAATTTCAAAAGACCTGTCCACGTGTCATTGTCTGATTGGTTGGGCGATCTTTATATATATCCCCTTTCCAGAAATTTCTTTCACCTTTCCCAAGAACTTCAGAAATCTGTCTTCTTTCGGATCTGTCTTTTGAGCTTTTGCGATCTACGAGCTTGTCCCAAGAGCTTTCCGGCGACGATTTCCGGCTACCCTTCGGTAATTCTTACCTTCCTTCCTTACTTTCCTTTTCTCGTCTTTTCGGTTGAGATGTCTTCTTCTCCGAGATCTGCGGGCGACGGCGGCGACTTCGCCGGTGAGGGCGACAACGCCTTCCGGCAGGCGGACGTCATTCTTACCGCCGTTCCTATTTCAGTGATTCGGCCGGATCCTTCGGCGGTCGAAATCGCCTCCAGTGGTGGAGGTGCCAATTGGCGTGATGGTACCAGGACTTGTCATGAATCCCACCTTATGCTCAGGGTGCAGGGTTCGAGTCCTGGGGAGGGCAAAAACCACAGGGAGTCCTACGATGGGTTTTCACCCTACGGACAGAGCACTGTGGAAGTCCATGAGTCCCCGGTGCATGGTCATGGCCCACCGGGGGTCCCACCCCCCTCCGCGGGGAAGGCTGGCGGGAACGACCGTCAACAACACTATTGTTATTATATTTTTTTACATTGTTATCGAGGATGTATTGTTAGCTTATAATATTTATAAAAATATTAGTAATTAGACCGATGAAAATTAGTCTTTTAAAGTAGATAATGGAATTCTAGTAGTAATTATGAATTTGTTTTTATTTTATTTTATTTTTTAAAATCCTTATAGATAAGAGATGAGATTTTTTAAAATCGTGAGACATATGCAATATAACAAATAAGAGATAAACTCGAATATTTGTAAAAATATTAGTATTTAGACCGATGAAAATTAGCCTTTTAAAGTAGATAATGGATTTCTAGTAGTAATTATGAATTGGTTTTATTTTATTTTATTTTTTAAAATCTTTATAGATAAGAGATGAGATTTTTAAAAAAGTATGCAATATAACAAATAGAAGATAAACTCGTGTACATTTATGATATGAGATTTTCATGGGAAAGTTTAAACCAAAAGCCAATCGGATTTATTGCTGCAAGTTTGAATTAAGAAAACAATGCAATTAAAGAGACGATTTTTGTGCCTATTCACAATTATCCAACAATTACCATATTTAGGATATATTTAATAATTTTGGCGGAAAAAAGTTTCTAAATTTATAAAAAGGTTATTCTTTTTATATAATGATAGATTATGTAATGAAATTATCAGACAACTGAATTATATCTTAACAGAATTACCCGCTTGATATGTTTGTGTTCATTTTCCAAACAAAATACAAGCTAATTAAATAAGTCCAACTTGTAAAATACAATTGACTTATCTTAACTGAATTACCTGCTTGATGTTTGTACTAGCTAATTAAATCAGTCCAAATTGTAAAATGAAATTAAGATATCAAGGGTCCATTCATAACTATAATCCAAATATATATACTTGATATTATTGTGAATTTTCACAATGTTTTCCCTTACTTTCTTCTACAGATCCAGTATTTTTCTTTTGTCTTTTTTAAATAAAATTAAAAATAAATAATGCATTTTGTGCCACATTGAGTAACTTAGAACAAATATTATTGTTATATACGTTAAGGTACAGTCATACGTGGGCACCCAAAAAAATATTGATAATGTTCTTTTCTCTGAAGGTTGACTTTATTTGCAATAAATATATTTAGTGATATATATAATTAAGTGTTAATTATATAATGCATATTCATAAATAATGGATACATTGGTTCATGTACATGAGTATTTTTTTAAATACTATTAATTACTTGGGCATGACCAAATCGGTAGTCGTCCCCATCAATCTCGATTTCGTAGCTAATAACAAGTAATATTATTTTTATTTAAGAAAAATAAAAGGAATATAAGAATAAGTTGACTATAAAAAGAAATAAAAAAGAAGTCAAACACGTTACATTACACGTTTAGTAAAATATAAGTAGATAACTCTCACANAATATATAATTATATTAAAAACATTTTTTAAAATTCTTAAATAAATATAAGACAGGAGTTTCTTTTATTTGAATTGATATAAATGAATTTATAGATAATATTTTTAATTAATTTATAATTTTATTACAAAAAATATATTGAAATTTTTAAATAAATATAAGACAGAAGTTTTATTTATTCAAGTGTCACATGCTTTTTAAAAATTGCAATATTATTTATATTTAAAATATAACTTTTCACTTGTACAATTTGTTATTACAACATTTTTTCTAATTCATATGTAATAAAATACATCTTTTTTAATTGATATAAAATTTTATTAATTCTCATAGTCATAGATGGTTTAAATTTACAATAATGATAAATAAATTATTTATTTGTGATGCTTGCTTGGTTACGAGGAGGTAGTCCATATATACTGTAAATATACATGATTTATCTTATTGTCGTCGTTTTTATTTACTTTATTTTGTTAGTGTTCTACGCACATTTGTGTGTTACAACTTGTATATATAAACGTTATGGTATATAAATAATTATAGTTTATAAACCAATATAAATTGAATGGTTGTAGTGGACTAGAACAATTTTTTATAATTTTTTACATCCTGAAGAACATTTATATCATGTTTACATATCAATGTTGTATAGAACATTGGTATAACAATAAGAAAAAATATTAACAATAAATATAAATGAAATTCAAACATCACAATTGCGGTTATATAAAATATTTGTAGAAATAAAAACGAAACATATACTGGACATATATTGTTTATAAATGAAACATATACTATCTATTTGAAATTCCCTAAATATGTCGCTACAAGACTTCTCCTATTGTTCTTATTGTTGCTTCAACATTGCACCTCCTTCACTGGCGATACAGCCGCCGGCAGCACTGGAGTCGTAACCGCCGACCCCTCCAACATCACCCTCATCTATCAATTGAATAAAAACAAAAAATACCACATCTTTTATTCAAACTACACCCCAAAAATCAAAATCTCGCAAATGAAGCACGGATTGATCTTTTTAAGTCGACGGCTTGATCGGACCCGAAGAAAGCCACCACAGTTGTCGACCGTCGTCTTTAAACCGCACCTCCATCAATGGTCGTACAACGACGGTATCACTGAATTCAGTTTTGGTCTGTCGGCTGCCACCATTATATAAATGGTCGTCGTTGAATTCAAACTTTTTTTGGACGAGTATCCGACCAATATTAAGCTTTACTCCCCAGAGCTGAGAACTGGATCTCAGTTTTTGTTCGTCGTCGTCGTCGCCGGGTGGACTGCTACTGACAATGTGCGTGGAGTTGATGTCGGCTATTTTTTGTTGTTGTGTATTTTTAGAGACGATTTAAAAAAATGGATTGACGAAAAACTAATTGAAGAAGATGGAAAAGTAATACAAGAGATAAGAATTGAGTTGGCGTGTGAGCATGAATTTATGACAGAGGTTGAATGGGTGTGATTGGAAGTTACATTTAGAATTCCAAAAAATCAATAAATTACCATTCAAAAAACCACCTCCTGGCTTAATTGTTTATGAAATAATTTACTCAACTATATTTCATACTCAAAATTTAATTCAACTTTAACTCAATCCCACTATTTTTAATATTATTTATATGATTAAATAATACAAATCATTCTTACACATCACATCAACTTTAATTCACTATTCATCTACTCACATAATTTTAACTACTTATTATTTCCAATCATTTATCTCCTCCTTTTACATCAAATTAATTTTAATAATTTTATTTTAAATATTATTTAAATTCACTTAAAATTTCACTAACAACTAACTATACCACCTTTTTCAAAATTAACTACGCTCTTTGAACAAATTATTTCATAACCCAAATAATGTACAGAAAACGGTAGTGAAGAAATATTTTTTGCAATATTTTATTAGTATATGTTCAATATTTCTTGCTTTTGTGTTAGTCCATAGGATAATTTTCTCTAATATTTTTTAAAAATCTTCTCTGTAAATCTTGCTATAACATTGCACAAAAAAAATTACTACCCAAATTAAACATCCCCCAATTGAATTTAATCCATATAGAATACTTATCATTTATCAACATTTTCCATATTTTTATTGTATTTTTCGTGGTTAATTGGGAAAAACATCTTGAAATTTTGTCTAGTTATTAAGAAAAAAATGTCATTGTGCTGACATGCATTATTATTACTTTTATTTTTGTTTTGGGATTTTGCTGCAGAGTGACAATGATACATCCTACAAGACATTGCTTCAAGAGCCAACAAAAAAGGAAATTAAAAGAAAAAATAAAAACAGAAAAACAATTCATGGATAGAAAATGATGAAAGTAACCCTCAAATTTCTGGCCAACAAATTTGGTATCAACACAATTACTACCAAAAAGTCAAGAAATACTCATTAAACACAGATTATCGTGCAAAGAGACCTATCCGTTAAACTAATCAATCCATCATACAATTGTAACACAAACATACCTTATCTTATAAAATGCCATACCCTTGTTTATGTTGTCTTTAAGAGTGACATTTCAATTGTAAAGTATGCATATCTGTTGAAAAAAAAAAAATATGATTGTCTAAACATTAGGTCTACCTAAAGCAGCTGCTTGATAAAAGGCACAGTGCCCTTATATTCTTCTGTTTAAAACAAGAGATAACTAAGAGAGAAAGAGGGTACAACAACTTATCCTCAAAGTACATACCGTCTCAAGAGAAAGCATATTCAATATATTTTCTCTGGCCTAATTATCTCTGTACCTCTTCACATAGAATGGAAGCCGTTCATCCATCCATATAGATCATAGATGTCCCATCACCTATTCCGAAAAGTATATGCTGTATACTTCATGCCACTATAAACTACATTTCAATGGTCAATAACAAGTAATGAAGAAAAAAAATGAAAATGACTCGAAAAAAGGCATTAAACTGAACCTTCAGGTTCAACTCGGGTTCTCGGGGCCAGCTGGCGCCAGGTTCGGTTTATGGACAGGCATAGCTACGTGCTTATGCTGTTTGTGTCTTTCCTCCGAGTCTAACTGAGCTTCACCAGTATCTGTGTTTGACTTTGACTTTCTGCTGACTTTCTTTTTCGGCAAGATGTCATGTGGCATGGCATTAAGTGAACTGATGCTGGGAATATCCTTTTTCCTTTCCTCCGAGTCTAAAACCTTCCTTTTCCTGATCTTCTCTTTGTCCTGTGAAAAAAAAAAAAAGATTGGAAAAACCAGAGAGGTGATTGGCCTGCGTAAAATTGAAGAGGACGTCATAAAAGGCATCTCAAACATCATAAAAAATGACAGATGTCTTTAATGCAAATACTAGAGTTTCAATGCTCAACTCATGATCATTTCTTAATTCATTCTGTTGTTTTTATTATTTGAAGATTCTTATGTTTGTTGTGCAGCTTTTGATAGTCAACATTCAACTAATCAACGTCGCCACAAAAAAAGTAGAACAAACCAAAGTGAAAACGGCAAACTAGGCATCGTTTGGATAATTAACATATTCTTGATTTATTGGAGCTGTGAGAGAATAAGGTTTCTAAAAGATACATAGCATAGAGCAAAATAGATTACAGGTCAGAATATACCAAGAATTTCAACTTACTAATGTATAGTTCATACATACAGTAAATAAGTTTGCATTATCACCATCTCTATAACAATAGAAGTTGCATCATATTTCACTCAGAAATGAATATATAGATATATACACACACAAGGGCAATAAATAGAAGAGACCATACCTTCCTCCTGTTGGATAATGCCTTCCTCCTATCTTTAGCTTTATATATTGCACGTTTAATTCCATGAGTGTCCATGATTCCACTAGGCCACAATGATGCAAGCTGCACCAGAAAAACGCAAAGCATCAAATTTTATTTTCATAGGACCCCAAATCTCTTCTAGAGCATGCAACCTATTGTAGAGCAAATAATCACAAACTATAGTATAGTGTATACTATTACCTCTTCATAAAGTCTTTTGACAGGAGGGCCCGAGTCTTCTTCTAGTCTCTGGAATGAATATGATGTAGTAAATTAGACAAACTAGTCCAACACAACCATGTAGGTGAAAACTTCTTCACCAAAAATAGCAGAAATCTGATGTATTACATTACCTCAATATAAAGGTCATATAAATCGCAAATCTTATTTTCCAAAGCATCATCCATGCTGTATTTTCGTTTCAATGCTTCTTTCTCTTCTAGCCCAGCTCCTTGAAAATAATCTGAACTAGCATTTTGATGTTCCAACTGCAAAGTAGTTCAGATATTATGTAATATATTCCCCAATGTGAAAACAATTTTTCGGGATAAGCCTACAATTAATTCATGGTAAAATGGAAATCATAATAGGGGTATGCCAATAGTTATCTCACGGCATACCTTGGACTTCATATATGGAATCCACTGCCTGACCATATCTGCAACCTCTTGTTTTATCTTCTGTAACCGATCATCCTTCTCTTGTTTAGCAGACAACCCCAAATTAGCCATGATTTTAAGGTTTCTCTGACATAAGTCAAACTTGATTAGCATGAGCGATATCGTAAATGAATCAAATGCTGTAAAATTAGCATTAATGCATTAATGATCACATGTCAACTGCCAAGTATGATCTTAATGTGGAAATACCTTCAGCGTCCTAAGCTGCATTAAGTGGCCAACAATGCTCATCAGACGATTGGTCACATCCTTTGGTATTTTTCCATAGCTGGCATGCTGATTCAGAAAAAACAGAAATGTAATTCCAATTGGATTATTAAGTATATGGTTCAGTGGACAAATATGAACAATTAACATTTTATAAGCTTCTAAATACCGCTAATCTAGCAACTTTCGCCAACTTCTGCTTTATATCTTGCGGCAATCTCCTTTTCACCGTCTGAGAAGAGCTATCAGGATCATGGACTTCAGTAGAAGGTGGTCTAGCTGTTGGTACCAGACATGCATTAAAGTAAATAATCATGGCACAAGTTGTGGTGTAAAGGAAAGAAAAAACAGCAATAATAAAATTAGTAACATACATTCAGAAACTATTTTTTCCAACTCCCGAATGGCCTTCTCGAGCATTGAGATTCTTGATCTAACATTTGATCCTTCTTTTCTTGGCATGAGAGGAGCCTTCTAAAAAATAAAGTACAACAACTTTATCAAGAACAATAAAGATAAATGTACAGAACAAAGACAGAACAGAAGTATATCAGTACTCAAAATAAAATACTCATAACTCACTGAAGTTCCCTTTCAGCTAAAACTAATACGATTTGAGGCACAAAAAACAGCTAAGACATGGAGAAGAGGTAAAAACATAATGCAATTAAACAAATTTTCATGTGTCAGGTCTTTAAAGGCAGATAAAAGAATAACACTTCGCCAGACAATACCCAATTAAAGAAGGCATTAAATCCATAACATAGCATTGTGGGTTAGATTCCCCCTTCATTCAGACACATTTCACCAATTCTCACAAACAGCAAGTATATCTTTTGCCACATGTTTAAAGTATTCTGTGCTTATACAGAATTAAGTAACAACAAAGTCTTTATACTAATCCCTTCAACTTTCAAAACCAGACTGACAGCCACTAGATCTGTTTTCTAGGGATGATAAATCAATAAAAATCAGACTATGATTTCAGTACATCATCAAGTTGTCAATACATGTGATGAAGCCAGTGATTAAATGATGCAATTAATATCACGTGTAAGAAATATGCAAACAATATACTAAGTCTTAGCAATCTTAAAGATACAGAGTAAATTAAATATACTAAGTCTTAGCAATCTTAAAGATACAGAGTAAATTAAATCAGTGAAGGAATAAATGTAGCAATTGCACACGAAAGAATTGCTTACTGTAATTTGTGGTTCCCTGCCAGTGCTAGCACTAGGCGGGACATTAAGGTCAAATCTTCCAACAATTCCACCTGTCTCTTTCCGTTGAATAGTTGGACCCAGCTCATCACCATTATTTAGTTCTTTCGCAGAATGAGACTCACTTAAATGTAATTGTTTGTCATTGGACCCCTGAGCTGGAGGCTCTTGAAGTTCCCTACTCTCTTTCAATTTACTATTATGGTCCTCTGATGTGAGAATTCTAGTTGTCTGCTGGTCAGCATCCTTATTCTGCCTAATGCCTTCACCACTCGGAAGTCCTGAAGGATTCATAGCTATTTGGATATCTGCAGTTTTCTTCTTTAATGATTCAGCAGCATATGATGGAGAAGGATCAGATGGTACTTCGGCAGTTAGCATGTTTGTTGCAGTCATTCTATGTGACTGACTAGTGGAGCTTCTTTCATTCGATTTTCTACTTCTATTCCCCATTTTCACTTGCTTTTTCGAGTTATCTACGTCATTTTTCCCAGTTTCACCTTTGGTAGCATCTTTACGTCTCCTTTTCTTTGGCTGTGGGTCTGCAGTTGTGGCAGGTTCACTGCAAGACAAGTAAACTACCATTAGGAGGACGAAACAACTAGAGGGAGAAAAGGAGGAAAAAAAGAAATAAATTAAACCCCAAAATCTGAGATGATGCATGTAGAAAATGAAACAGTCATAAACACCAAAAGCAAGTAGGTTGTCAATGTAAAAGGCCCATGGATTCGGATAATGGAACTCACATGCGCTCCAACTTTCCACGATTCACGAAAAATCCATCATGCTTTATGGATGAGTTATCAATCTTGAAATAATCATCCTGCATGGAGTTTATCGTTAATCAGTAACTACTCTGCACTTATCACCAATAATAATAATTAAAAAAAAAAGACATAGAATAATGAAGATGCGAAATTCAATGCAAACAATCAAAGAGGGCAGCCCACCAGTTCGGCATCATCAATGAACGAATCCTCTGTATCATAATCATCATCATCGGGCACATCATCCAAAAAAACATCTTCCTCTTCACTACTGCCATTACCCTACAAGCTCAACATACAATATCAACAAAATTAGAAGATTGAACAGATAGCCAGTAGGCCCAAAACCATGTAATCACCTAGTATTAACATATTCATAAATAGTATGTCATCTCAGTTATGTTAACAAGATTACAGAAACACATTAATAATGTTGCAAGATATAAACAAAATCTCCTGGGTGAACAAAAAATGTGTACTTTAAACATTAAAAGACAAGATTAAACAAAATGCATGGATGTTCTGACTAAACTACTATTGAACCTCAAATTCACCAAACATTAGTATCAAAAATTGAATCTTTATAAGAGAACAACGGACAGAAGTTAATAAGTTGGCACCAGCATACAAAATCAAATTAAATTATCAAAATCATACCGCATACATACGCTCGATTTTCTCAATCACATTGCTCAAACGGTTCGACCCGGCCTGAGCTTGTGAGTCTTTAACTTCATTCTCCGCCACCTGATTGAAAGATTCCACCGCAGGCAGCGGAGGCGAAGGATGAAAAACCGGCTGCTGATGGGCATCCGACAACGGAAACGAAACTGATCGGCCAGGTCCGTTGGGCTTACTGGAGGTAGCCTCCTTGAGAAGCTTCTTCCACGAAACGATGGTCGTTTCACCGGGACGGAGCTCCACCGTGAACCGGAGACGGTCGCCGGAGGATTCGTACGAAGAGGTGGGTTTAGGCCCCGGAATCGGTTCGGGTTCACCAGCTCCTCCGCCTTCTACCATTAATTCAGTGTTTGTTGATCGAAAATTTGGGTTTAGGATTGAAGATGTGAAGGAGCAATTCTGCGGAAAACCCTAGTGAAATTTCTATTTTCTTTGTTCATTTGCAGAGGATGTGCAACGGTAAATTAGACAGAGTATTGACTGCGATGTGTAATTAGATAAAAATATTGAGGTAAAAGAGAGAGAACTTAATACATGGAGGAGAAAAGTGACGTCGAGTTGTAGTACAGGGAGCTCAGTGAAATTTTCCCCTTGCGAGTTGCGAGTTCGAACAATATTAAGAAAGACCAATTTTATTTGTTTGAAACAAAAAATGGATATTCTTTATTATTATTTTTATTTATTAATAGTACTAATTATAATAACATTGATTAATAAGTACTTGACAAATTGAATATTATAAATATAAAATTTTTACAATTCCAAAAAAATCCAATAGATAAATGAATTAATGAACTATTTGTCGTTGTCCAAAAATAATGCAAAATTGAATTCTTCACATGGCTATGTTCGAAAATAGTACACTTGTCATTGTCTTTGTCAAATTTATTCATTTTACATGATATTGTCCGAAAAGAATTCAATAATAGATGAAATGATTAGTAGCATACAGATATATATTTTTCCAAGTATAACTTGTAAATTATAAAACATAGATAGGCTCCGAATGCTGCATCTTACACTAATGACATGCATTTCGTATTAGAACCTCTAAAGTACGATTCATCATCAAGAATACTGCTTAATTATGAATGCAGCTATCTGCAGTTATTGCCAGTAGGAACAAACACACACAAGTGAACTGTAAATTCAACTCGAAATCTCCGGTAAAGCGATAAAAAACAATATACGTGCGTGAGTTTTTTGGTATGCACAGATTCTATGTTAGAATATTCTTATCCTTTATATGATTGTATCCTTTGGCAGTAACAAAAAGTTCTCATAGTAACTTTGCCCCCAAAAAATAAAAGAAAAATACAAAAAAGAACCGACAAAAGGCAAACTTTATACCTACTCTAAAAACCCCAAACGAGCAGGCACACATCGTTGTATATTCACCTAACAACCGCTATTTCAACAAAATTCGTGTGCCCCAACTCATCTATAAGCCATATTCCGCAAGCAATGAGAAAACTGACATCTGGAGAACTCGAATTCATAACTCCAAAAAAAAAAAAAGAAAGAATTGTGAGCCCTTAATCGTTTGGGTCCATTTCCTCATCTTGCTCGCCAGGTGGCACTGTATCGACCTGGCTATTATCGTCTTGTTCCAGCAAATCCGCATCACTTTCATCATCTTCTTGTGTTGTTTCGTTACCATCACCAGAGCTCTCTTGTGATGATAAAACGCTCGTTAAGCTTTTTTGTTCAAACCCTATAGGGCATTTGTCTTGTCCTCTGTACAGAGTTTGGAGTTTGGTGTCCTTTCGAAAATCGGCACTCTTTACAGTCGTGCATGAGCATTCAGGTAATGGGTGGGAGAGGAAAGATTTCGGCTTGGAGCTTTGGGATTCTTGGAGAATTCCATCTACTGATATGCTTTTGTTGAGGTGTTCTCTTACAGTGAGAGTCCAGTTTCGTGGGGGGTGATAGAGATGGTCGCTTGTAGTGTTGATTAGCCTCGTGAGATATTTCCTGCAAAAAAAAGACAAATGATATATAAAAATTATCAAGGGGAGAAAGAAGTTTGGCGAGAATAATTTGGCCCCACTTACAAAAAAATAGCCACTGATAAATGATAATTCCAAAAGTCGAACATTCACTCCTCAAATAGCATTCAAAAAGAAAAAAAAGAAAAAAAAAATTGCTTATTCATCTAAAGAAACAGCAACAATATAGGCTATGTTTGGTAACTAAATAAGCTAGCTTATAGCTTGTTTGGTGGCTTTGTTTGGTAGTACAAGCTTTTTTGAGTAGCTTTTCAAATAAGCTCATTTTTATTTCAGCTAGCTAATTTTACCAAAACACTTTTATCATATAAGCTAGCTTTTTAGGTATAAGTCATAAGTTATAGGCTATGTTTGTAAATATAGCTGATAAGCTAGCTGATAGCTGATAGCTGATAAGTGATTTTCGAGCTTATACTTATGAATGGTTGAAAAGCTAGTTTATATGATAAAAGTGTTAGGTAATAAACTAGCTGAAATTTCAACAAGCTTATTTAAAAAACTACCAAAGAAGCTTATGAGATAAATTCGAGCTTTTTAAAAAAACTCATCAAGAAGTGTTTGAAGCTTATTTGAATATAAGAAGTTTATAAGTTAATCAAATAAGCTATAAGCTAGCTTATTTAGCTACTAAACATAGCCATAAACTATAAGCTCGAAATCACTTAAAATCAGCTAGCTTATCAAGTTTCACCAAACATAGCCATAATTGGAAATCCTCAAATGGAAACTCAATAATTTTACCTGTCCGGTCTATACGTTCTACTCGAGGCCATCTTGTAGAGCCGATGCCCCTTCACCAATCCAGAAAAATCCGGCCATCCACTACCATCGTTATCAAAACCGGGAAAAAACGCATCGGCCTCCACAGAAACAATATAGTCGAGCGCATCCCAAAGCAAACGATGAGCCCGGTCCCTTAGATCATTCGGTGTAGGGTCCGGTTCAGATTCTCTTTCCGCAATCCACCCGTACCAACCTTCCTTTTCATGTCGATAAATAGGTCGGTCGGGAGGCGGAGGAAGGGGCCTGGGACGAGGGCCCGCTTTGTCCCATTCCTCTTTAAGTTGTTTCGCACTCTTTGTAGGTGGAAATTCAAAGGTATCCATGGGGAGCTCGGTTTCTGGGCCGATGATTTGGGCCCGGTCCAGTTTACTGCACAAGTTCGTGCGATCCACTGAGTTGGGGTACATGGCCCGTAATGGTATAAGAACCCGTTGGCCGCCAAATGTTTCGGAGCCCGCCAAGTATATTCTTGTTCTCGGAGGGTAACCCATAGCTCGAAGGAGTAGCCCAACCTGCAGTTTTGATTGGGTGAAAAGGAATGGTTAAACTCGGAGTATACAAGTTTAGTGAATTATTAGCTATAATAGTATTTTAACATTAAAAATGCTTGGATATAGGAATTTTCGGTTTTGTTTGGTTAATTTTGAAAAAAAAAAAAAGTGGTATGGTTAGTTGTTAGTATGTATATTAAAATTGTATTTAAAATAAAATAATTAAAGTTGACTTGATGTAAAAGAAGGGGGAGATTATGTGAAGTGATGGTTAGTTAAAATTATGTGAGTAAATGAATAGTGAATTGAAGTTGATGTGATGTGTAATAATGATTGATTGGTAGTATTTAATTATATTGATAATAATAAGGATAGTGTGGTTGCTTTAAAGTTAAGTTAAACAATAGTTGGGTTAAACATGTTTGGAATTTTTTTCGAAAATTCTTGGATCTAAACATCCTCTATACGCCACTTGAAGTTATTTGGGCTCTTTTACAAAGAAAAAATTTAGTTACATCGTGGGAAAAGGTAAATAACACCGAATAGCCAGATTAAACAAAATATGGAACCATAATTAAGAAGCAAAATCAAGATTTCAGATATTATAGACAAAAAAAAAAAAAAAATTGAGGTCGAAGAATGAAGGATAACCAAATGATTATATACCTCTTCTGGTGTGATTAAACATAACTTTAACAACAAAACAGAACATTCAAGGTGACTAAACGTAAAAAAACGATCATACCTCTTCTGGCATTAGTGGGCACGAACCTTTTCCTTTTCGGGTGTATGAATCGACACTCAACTCATCTTTTATAAGTCCTTGTTTGATCATCTGTGCTCGGCGGTATTGTATAAGTTCCGTGTGTACATCCTATTCAAACAGGATTAATTATATAAGAAGTTAAGGGTAAAAATGAATAGCAACAATAACATTAGGCAAAGTTCCAAAAGCAAACCTTTGTAGCAAAAAATCACTATTTAGATGTATTATTCACCTGAAAAAGTTCGGCACAACCATGATATGCTAGGGTATCCCTCTTTAACCCTGGATGGTAAGCAAGATATGGTTGACCAGAACCTCGTAATCTGTAAGGTCAAATATAACTCTTAGATATTGTATACCACCATGTCAATAC